CCCCAAAACCCCAAAACCCCAATGCTGTAAATAAGAAATTTTTATTAATGAATAAAAAGTTAAAATTATTAATGAGCGAAATTAAAGATAATGTATGACGATTTAAAGGAAATAACTAAACTTAAGAGATTGAAATATAACCTTATGTTTCAACATTATTTAAATAAGGTTCACAATGCTCCAACATTAACTTATGTTTTTAAATCTCTAGAATCTGGTGATAATTCTACAATAGGCACCATTGCCTTCACTAGAGATTGATTCTTGTTGGTTAACTGTCCGAAACTATACTCATCTTGTGTTTTTCCTAGATTTTAACTCTAATCGTGAGAATCTTAACTTTCACGACTTTTATTGATAGCTTTGCCTAGCTTTGTTGGAGAATGTATGAACAAGTCATCAAAGGAAATGTTTAAATTGTTAGCCTCTGTCTTTCTCTTGTTTGAGTTATAAAATTTACCCTTCATGAGTTTTCCTTTTGTTCCTAAAGATTAACTCTTTTTCTGAATAGTATTTTCCTATTCTTTTACCCTTTCTTACGAATCATTATTTTCATCAATTGCATTTTTTCTATTTGGGGATGTTCCATTCGACAAATATGAAAACTACATTATTGTAATATTTTTCCTGAAATCTGCTTTTGTGTCTCTTTTGGTTTATTATTCTGCATATACATCAGTTTTAGCTTCTATGTTAAAATTCTACATATCAATGTCAGTTTATACACCAGTATGAGACTGATCTCTTATGTCTCTTTCAATCAAAGTTCCATCATTGGCATAATAATAACCATTTTAACCATTATAGGTTCTTATTCCTTTTTCATTTCCTTTATTCTAATTATTACTGGTATTCAAAGAGAAACTATCTCCCTTTAGATTATCTTTTGATATTGGATCATTAGGTGACCTTTAAATTGATTTGGGACTGAATGTCCTGAATTTTCGTTGAATCCCTTCTGGTTATTATGCATCATCTTCATCAGAATCGACTAATTATTCATCATTGATAGAATCTTCATTTAATTCCTAGCCTTCCTTGAAATCGATTGATTACTTTAGGGATCTCTTGTTATCTCCAGTTCCTTTTGAAGGATCACTGGTATTCTTAGAATGCTTTTTATTATTCTTTTTGTCCTCCTTAGAAATGATCTCTTTGCCATTAGAATCATATTTAATTTTGCCTGTTTTCTTTTTTTCCGCCTTCATTCTTGATTTAGATCTTGGTGTTAGTTCATTTCTTCCTTCTTTATATTTTTGCTTTCCTTGATTTGTTTTTGCTTTATCTTAGAGAGCACTATTATCTCTAGTTTAGTTTGAACCTCTATAAATATTCTAAGGATTTGGATCTAATAAAGATATGTTCGTATCAATAGTATTTTATCTTTAAGGATCATTAATATCTATCAATGAATAGCCTTGTGAATTCTACCCAAGCGTTTTATACCTATTATTTTGACCTAATTAGTTGATAATAGCTAAACCTGCAGCCCCTTGTCCTTTATCAAGACTATTTATAAATTAAGAAAACATTATGTTACTTCATAAAATCAAGAATTGCCATTCCTGTAGATTTCCTTATTTAATCTTCAATTTATTTCCTAGAGTTATAAATTTCCATCATTTCCTTCTTTGTAAACTCTAGCAATTCCTCTATCTCTCTTTACTATATATTTTATTAATTTTTAATTAGTTTACCTTGTTATTTTATTCTGTTATGAACAATTTAAGTTTAAGAATATCCGTGTTAAGTATTTTTATTTGAATTTTTTAATCATTGTTTTCAAATTCTAACTCCTTAATCTTATCTTATAAAAGCTATCTTTTTTATTCAGATTATGAAAATCTTTCTACGTATCTATTATATTAAACTTCTAAATTCATTTTTTCCTCTTTTACCTCATAGAGTTAGTTAGTCAATTACTCAATCTTGTCCAAAAGCTTAGTATCCTTGTCTGTCTGAATTTCTTGATCTACCACAATCAATTTTTTGTAATAGCGTTTGAGCACCTTTTTGGCTGTTTCATTTTATATTACCTTATATTTGCTTTATATCTGATCCTCAAACTAATCAAAAGGAATAGCTCTAGCATCATAATTTCTTTGCAGTTAATCAATGTTCATATATTTAGCTTCAATATCTTGCCTAATTTCTCTTAGATTTTTAGTGACACCACTGAATTCAGTCTTAACATTAAGTTTCTCAGCAGTTCTGAACTCAGGAATATCCTAATTATACTCAGCAAGCTGCTCATCAAGATACTAAATATTTTTAAATATGTTTTCCTAGTAATCTTTATCAGTTTGCTCTTTCTATTGATACATCTTTATCTTGCTCATCAATCCAATCATTCTCATAAATATTTGCTTGTAAGCGAATTCATAACTCTATTTCTACCGAAGATAAAACTTAGCGAATACTGCTATTTGATCCTTCATACTATCGAAAAGAAGGTACAAAAGTTATTCCTGTATCTGTGGAATATTATATTTGTTCTAGAAATGCTTAGATTTATAAAACTTTTCAAAAACAGATGATAACTTTTCCTCCCTTTACTTGAGAACTAGCAACACATCTTATTGCTTATCTTGCGATAGCAATTGAGAGATATTTTATTCGAAATTGCAGTTTAGCTCTTGAAGATTCTTAAAATTTTCTTAAAGTTTCAGTATAAATAGATCTTTTGTGGTAGTTTGAAGTGGATTCTATTAATCACCATTAGAAACAGAGTTATTAAACTTATCTGTTTAATTTAATTAGGGTATCTTAATGGGACTTATCTGAGTATTCCTGATCAAATCATTTGTGTTAAGACTTTTCAGATCTTTGCTTATGAATGAAATTTTCTTTTAAGGCATTATTGATTTATTAAGGCTAACAAAAGATTCAGAAGTATTATTTGTTTGCATATCCATGCAGAGAGTGTCAGCTGATTCATTTTTATCTTTACTAGCACTTTTATCATTATTCTTTTTAGTCATTTAGAATGCCTCTTTTCAGTAAAAATCCCGAGAAAATGATGCGTTTGGGAAAACATGAGTTATTACTTGATTCCATTATTGGTTAAGCTTATTTTTATTTGTCTAAGAAAAACCATGCAATACGCTATCATTCCCAAATAAATCACTATTGTTAGTAACGATCATAGGGCCACCTCTTTTGCTATGTTTATTGATTGAATTAGATAAACTCCTTGGGGTAAAATTATCCCTTGTTCGATTAAGATACCCAATTGTGCTGTTTTCAATGCCAATTGTTTCTAAAGATTAATTGACCATTTACTGAATTTCTTTTGAGTTAGGATTAAACATTGTAATATCTCTTTTTGAAAGATTATATTTATCTAATTAAATTGAGTTTGCAGTGCTCAAATCAGTACTTATACCCCTCTATTGAGTAAATTAGCCTCCAGAGTTTGATCCATTAAAGTTTCATATAGTTGATTACTTGACTGAAGTCTCTATTTATTTAGGTTGAAAATAGAAATTCCTAGTGCTACTCTAATGAGGATGACTTTTTTATTTATTTTTTTCTTGATTATCTTTGTCCATAATATACTTGATTTATTTTATCTCTTATAATTTTATTTATCTTTATATATCTCTACATTATTCAGTGCGGGGGTTTTGGGGTTTTGGGGTTTTGGGG